GGGAGGTGTGCCAGCTCCCGACTCTCATCCCCTTTTATGCTCCATTGGTTGCCCCGGGTGATGAGGCTTTGAATGGGAGGTATGGGGAGCCGGCTGCTTCAAACAGGGGCCAGAGAATAGGGCTGGGGGAAGCCCCCCGGCTAAACCCCCCCCCCCTCCCCCCCCTCCAAACACCCCCCCCCCGTGCTCTACCCTCCCCCTTCATTCATCCAGGCCAGAAAGAGGGCCTTGCAGGCCTTCCTGAGTTGTGGGGTGGGGGTGGGGAGTGCGGGTCCCAATTCTGGAAGCTCCATTTCCCCCCAACATGCAAGGAGAGCCAACTGACCTTCAAAGGAGGGAGGCATTCTCTTGGCCGGGGTGGGGGTGGGGGTGGCAGCCCCCTGGGGAGACGTCCTGTTCCAGGATAGGCTCTCCCTAACCCGGCTGCCCCCCTTCCTTCTTCAGGCTGCCTGCCCTTATTGTGGCTGGGCTCCTCTACCTTTTTCAGCTTTGTGCCAGACAGAAGTGCTACCGGTGAAGCCTTCCTCAGCACTTCTTGTAATTTTTAAGAAGTGACCAAGAATCGTATTACAAGAATCCCTGGCACATTGCTTTGCAAAGGGTTTGGACTATAATTCCCATTACCCACAAATCTGTGACTGCTGGGGATTATTTTCCACTCTCTCTACAGAGCACCAGGCAGGGGAAGGACAGCTTATATTTTAACAAGAAGCGTTCTGGTCTGGGGGTGACTGCTGTGGTCTTCCTCCACCCTGCAAATGGGTTTTGCAAAATTACCATTTCCTTGACTCACACTCTCGGGGCAGAAAACTGGAAGGGGAATGGATTGTTGGGGTGTCCAGCCAAGCCTTCAGCCTTGGCCTGGCATCTTGTTAGCCTTCCTCTGACCACAGGTGGATCACAGGAACAAGACTTCAAATCTGTCCTCTGGTGAGAGAAAATGGTCGGCCTCCCCCGCCACCCTCCTCCCCAACCTGGGACTGGCCAGGGACATTCCAGTGCTCCTAATCAAGCCCCCCGAGCGGGAAGAAGCTCCCTGGGCCCCACTCTTTACCTCAGAATGGCTGCTCGGCGGCCACTGAAGACCCTGGGGACATTACCACATTTTAACTCCCACCTAGCCACCCCCCCAACTGCCCAGCCTGACTGGTTTCCTGCAGAAAGCACCAGCTATTTCCCAGGGGAGTCACTCCTGCAGTACACCTGCCGTGGGGAGGCTGCACTCGAAGGGGGTTGAAGGAGTTCTCACTGCCTCTTCTGTACATACGGAACTTACACCGATTCTGCGCCTGGAGGGAACTGGAGGTCCCAGGTCAGGGCCTGGCCTCACTGGTGTCAGGCCTAGAGCCCCTGGAAGACCTCTCTCTGCCCCCAGGCTGGTCCCTTCCACTGGGATTGGTGCCTGAGCACTCCCTTAAGAGCCCCCCTTCCTTAGCACCTGTGGTTGGGACTGGCCTCCCTCTGGGGAAGGCCCCCTTCTCCACTTGGGCAGGGCGGGAGGTCAGGAGCAGGGGGCGTGGCGTCCAAGCCTACCCGCTCATGAGAACAAGATCCCCCCCCACAATAAACACAGCTTCAGGAAGGGGTTGGGGTTAGCGGCTTTGGTCACACGACATGGGGCCCGCCCTAGCATAGCCCACTGGGCCTCGCGTGCCATGCCAACCCACATGCCTGCCCCATGGAAGTCCATTCCTGCTGCTGCCCGGAGGGCAGGAAGGAGATTTGGTTAAGCCAAGGCCATGCTGGCTGGGCATGATGGAAGTTGTAATCCAGCACAGGAAGGCTGTTCCAAATCCAGAGGCTCAGTTTGCACAAGAGTCCTGGTGGAAATGGGTTGTGGGAAGCTGGGTATCATGTTCGTGTTTTCTGTGAACAAGTTCTTGCCTGCGGCATCCCGGGGGGGGGGGGGGGTAGGGCCCCATATTACGTGAATGCAGCGACTGGATTTGTTAACCTGGGCAAGCTGACAGGAGGGTGGGGGGCCGTTTCTGCCCTGTCCCCCTGCCCTCGTGGGCTGGGCTGAGCACGACGGCTCCTGCTTGATCCACCACCCTGCGAAGGGTCTTGTGAGGAGACCCTCCCCTCCCCACACTTCCAAGGGTGGAGGGAACAGCCTGCCTCTCTCAACCTCTTCCCGGCTGGCTGCAGGGAAATGGTCTGAAGAGGGCCTGTGAGCCCCCCCGCTAATCCTTCACCCCACACCGTCCTTCCAAACACACCCCGATCACAATCCTTTTGGCAAACGTTTGTTAGTGCACCTGCATCGCCAGCCCAGCTCTCGGTAATCCCCGGGATGAGTGGGAACACTGACCCCCAATTTGCAGATGGCACCTGGCCCCACAAGCCGTTTGGAAAATGAACCACAATTAGAATGTGGATAGCACGGCCCCCACGGTCTCCATGCAGCCACGGAGGGGGAAGGTCACCGTCTGGTTTGGGGTTCGCACCCCCAATACACCGAGGTTGCCCACACACAGGTCTCCAATGATGGGCTGGTCAGAGCCCTGGCAAAGCACCACCCAGGCCCGAAGGGCAAATGAGGAGGTGCAGCAGAGCCTCTGTGGGGGGGAGGAGGGCATCATCCAGAAATTGCCCAGCCTCCAAGCTGTACTAGCAGATCCTCTGGATAGAGGCTGCGGTCCCCCCAAAGAGGCAGGTCCAATCCCTCCAGTGCACATGCCTGGGGGGGGCCCAAGGAGCCCCTCCTGGGAGATTCAGAGAGGGGAACCAGGAAATGCTCCACTGTTTTTTCCAGGATCTGGTGGTGCCTCCCGGAGGCCTACCAGGAAAGCAGCGACAGTGGGATTGCGGTGCAGAGCATCGTCAGAGGGCGCTGCTGGTAGAGGTTCCTCATAAAGGGGCCCTCTTGCCCCTGTACTCTAGTGCTGGGCTGGGTATTGGCGCTCCCCACACCCCTGCCCCCCAGCGGTCCAGCCAGCCACGGGGCCCTCAGCTGACTCTGGAGATGATGAGACTGCGGGGGGCACACCGGCCCTGGCAGACAAGGCACGCCGCAGGTCCCACCGGTCAGGGAGCTAGACTTGGTGTGTCCCAGGAGGAGGCCGCCTCTGCCGTGGTGCCCGCCTTACAAGACCTTCTCCCCCTGGAAGCGAGGTGAGCTCCATTCCTCTGCATCCTCTGGCAGTCCCTCAAGACCTGTCTACGCCATCAGGCCTGGGGGGGATCTTGCAACGGTTCCCTTACTGTGACTAATATCATCCTTTCTTGTTCATGCACTTTTCATAGTTTTTATGATGAACGTTTTTATATATTTATCGGTTTTTTAATTAAGTGTTGTATGCCACCCAGAGTCACTTTTTTGTGAGATGGGCACACACAAATTTGACAAATAAACAAATAAGTGAACGGGGGGGGCACTTGTTAGCACCCATTTGAACTTTTGATCAATGGGCTATTTGCACGGGAAAGCACCCTCCAGCAATATTTTGAGCTGGGCTGTTCATCATGAGCTGCAGTCACGAGCAGCATTAGAAAGACCAAGGAGCTTCCCCCAGGGGTGCATGTGGGCATCCCCGTGCATCCCTGCAGGAGCCTCTCGGAGCCCAGAAAGGTCTTTGGTGGACGGCTCCCATTCCTTCCTTGGCCAAAGGTGGCTGCCATTTCCACTGGCACCAGACCTGGGGCAGTCTTCCCTGGTCTGCCCCCTGCCCCAGAGAGACCCATTTGGAAGAGCTGCTGTCCTGTGCCGCTCCCAGTTTAAACCGCAGGTGCCTCAGGGCACGGAGCCATCTTGCTAAGCCTATAGTGCTCTCCCCGTGCAAATCACTCTGCTCGTAGGCTTTACGGCTACCCTGAACTGGCAAACGAACGCCAGATGCCTCCTTCCCTGCACCTTCGATCCAACAGTCTCACATCTTTTTCAGCTTTGTCTTACTAAGGGTGGGGAAGCATCTTTATTTAAATATGATTAACTGCTTGATTAGTCCACAGGGAGGTGGGAGAGTGATCTGTTTAAAAGCGCTCCCAACAGGTGGCAGCCGGAGCCAGCAATTGTACCCCTCGCTGCTGGGGGAGGGCAATGCTTGGCGTGAAAAGGCCTCTCCCTTCCAGAGAAGCCCAGGGCCCATCCTCCATGCCCTTTTGGCATCGACAGGCATCAACCGAGTGCCAGGACTGTCCATGGAGTGCAGCTTCTCCCTGAAAGACACCCGCAGGCCTTCCTGGGGAGCGCAGGGAGTGTGTTGGTGGGGGTCTCCCCAGCAGGGATATGGCGCCAGTGGCTCAGATGAAGAGGCCCCCTGGGGAAGGAAGAGGAGGATGTCAGGGCAGAGAAGATGAACGCCCGACTTGGCTGCACCCCCCCTCATGGCTGCCTGTACCTGTCACTTCCAGGCTGGCCCCGGTGATATACCGGCTCTCCTCCGAAGCGAGGAAGGCACAGACGTCGGCAACATCTGGTGGAAAGAGGTGGTGAGAGCGAGCCCCTGGTTTAGTCCCAAACCTCGAAGCCCCGGAGGGGAAGAGAGCAAAGAGCAGAGTTTGCCCCACGTGTGGGCTGCAGCCCTTAGCTGCTCTCGTAGCTGCCAAACGCTCCTGCGAAGCCCCAGAAGGATTCTGAAACCTCCTTTTCCAACTCACACTTTATTCTAAGGCAGGAGCTTGTGAAAAGCCCGACAGCTGGAAAAGAGGGTTCCAGTCCTTTGATTTTTGGCTCCCGCAATGTCTTTTCCTTGGCCACATCTTGCGAACGCAGCCACTGAGACTCATTCCCTCGGGTTCAGCACCTTGTGCGAACCCAGACCTAGAGTTAGGGCTTCGGTCAGGGTTTACCACCTCAAGCAGAGATGCCCCTTTTCCTCCCCTACCCAATTCTCTTCCTAGGCCTGTAGTCTGGGGCCCTGAGGACGGGCAGAGGATGGTCACATCCAAGGTGGAAAAAGCATTTGCTGAACCTCTCCCCAAGCCCAGATGACACGGGGGGGCTCATTCTGAGTAGCTAGCAAGAAGCGCTCTGCGGGGGACTAGAGGCACCCTTTTCCAGGCCTTGGGTCCCCCAGTGCTCCAGCCAGATGAACACCTCACCTTCAGGCTCCCCCAGGCGTCCCAGGGGCACCATTGCTGCAAACTAGGGAAAAAAAACAAAGGAAGTCAGCAATGCCCTGAAACAGAGCCATGTCTCCCCTCCCTCCAGTTCCGCCAGAGGACACTGACCTTATCCAGGACTTTGGTGGGGACCTTCTCTGTCATGGGGGACCGGATGAATCCTGGCAGAACCGTGTTGCAGCGGATCCCGTACCTGAGCAAAGAAAACAAGAGATGGACGGGAAGTGGGGTGGAGGAAGAGCTTTCATTCAGTAGCTTCTCTCAAGGAGTCTCTGACCAACTATGGTAATGTGATTTGCCAACTTGCTACAACAGTACTGATTTAATTCAAGCATTTACGCTTGCCTTTACCACCGAGGGGCGCTCTCTCAAAGCAAACTGCACGCGATACATAAAAAATAAAAACATTTGCTGCCTCCGATGGGCTTCCTAGCTAGAAAACACAACGTAAGAGAACAAAATAGATGAGGAGGGGAGAGAAAAACTAACAAGCTCAAGCCCCCACCCCCCCGGAGCTTGGCCACAGTTGTCTTTTCCA